TGCGACCGTAAGACGAGTTAAAAAAAATAATAATCGGCAGCCAAAACACTCTCTTTGACTTAACAAGGGATATATTTGGAATAGTAGAACGAAAATCGTAAATAGATCGACACAGCAAAGGTACAGAAGGTTTTATCAGCATAACAAGTCGCTTTCCACTGTTGTTTAACTGTCACGTCCCTGTTGAACTGATAGGATCACGTGCGTTTGGAAGCTTGATAATATAGTATGAAGCGATGCATTATGGGATATATGAAATTCCCCCCTTTGGAATAAACCATCCATTACTACTTGAGTTACCCTATCTAAGGACCAAACCAAAGACACAAGGGCAACAACGTAAAAAATGATACCGTATTTAAGACTCGAGATCATCAAAAACCATACCCTATGAGGCGGTACTTACCTATCTAGCCCATCCATATATAGGATTATCCCCCCCCCCCCCGAAGACTTCACGTGCCGGTCACGTGGCAAGCAGACATGGATTTGGACGACGAATGCCAGGTTATTCATGAATTTTCTGTTGTTAAATGTTGCTTTTGTTATTTAACTTTTTGATATGTCACAGGAAGTTTCATGTCTTTCATAAAGTGTTTCTAGTTGGTCACGTGATTAATCAAGGCAGAAAACGTTATAGCGGAAGACATGCATGTTTGACCAAAGAAAAGGTTACGGAGATGTTACGTGCTATCAGACGTCATCATCTTTGTTTATGAAGTACCATGCATATTATGGCATTATATTAATGCTGACGAAGTGATTTGAATCACTCTCAAAAAATTATTACAAAGTGCGATGGAATTATTACAAATTGCGACAGCTTAGTTTATTACAAAGTGCGATGGACAGTTGTTACCAATTGCGACAGCTTTTTTACTACAAAGTGCGACACGGTTTATTACAAATTGCGACAGGTATTACAAAGTGTGATGGATTTATTACAAATTGCGACAGGTATTACAAAGTGCGATGATTATTACAAATTGCGACAGTACAGCATCCTATAAAACTCCTTAAAGGGGCTATGTCACCCCACACGCATGCGCGAGCCAATGAAAACAAACTTGAAAAAGTTGGCCCGTCTTTTTCAAGTTCTGTCGGAGATTTTGGAAGGCTGTTTTTATCTGTCTAAATCTCAGCCATCGTTCGATAGTTAGCGAAGTTTTGTATTAAGAATCGTTCTATGGTGATTACAGAATAATTTTTTGGCGTTATTTTGAAATTGTTTGCCTGTGGAATGTTTTTACGTGGATTTACTGTGTCCTCTTATCAGCGGCCGATGTAATGGCAGAGTTAATGACGGCTACTCTGCAATGAGTGATGGAATCTTTGATGGAATCTTCCCTATAGTTCACAGAATCTTTCTATTGAGTTATTTTAGAGGTTGCTGGCTCTTGGATTTTTCTTGTGCTCAAAGTATGTGGACATATAATGAAGCGGCTATCGAGTTGGCGGCTGTTTTTGGTAAACGATTACAAGAGCATCAGGCCATGAGTTTCGTGACCAAACTAAACTCCTGGCGAAGGAAACACTATAAAATTCGGCTAGATTCCTTCTTGTATTAATCTGGATTCACGGCAAAGATAAACACGACCGTTTGCTCGTCCAGATTGTTCTCAACGGACTTAGAGAGGCTCCTTAGGACGAGTTAGATCCTGTAAATGCCATGTTTTTGAACTGTTTGTGTTCGAGCATATTTTTGGAAAATAGCAGAGTTTACTTTCCCTTTTTATCAACGGACTGCTTATAGTGGAGTAGTATACCAATGATGCTTGGTTCTGTTTTTCCCGACGTCGCAGTGATTCGGCACGATCGAACAATTTTGCGCGATAATGTATGTTTCCCCAAGATCAAAACAAAGACTTGATGTCTCTTGTTCTATCAGCATCTAAATTATAAAATCACTAGCTACAGACAAGTCTAATTGTTAATGATTTGAAACAGTCTTGGTCTTTATCTTCGGTCTAGCTTCTTTTATAGCTCGTTTGTAAAATACAACTTCCATTTATTTTGTTGAATAAGACAATATGTTGTTGTTGAATTTTTGTTTGCGCACTATTTTATGAATGGCATGCGTTTTTACTCCAAAACTACAAGTAAAATTGTCGTCACAATTTTATTCTTGATCTAGCTTAACCAGAGAAGAAACGTTCCGTAAATTCTATCGAAATATCCCTTATCTAAACCCATTTCGCTTGTTAACCTCTCTAAATTCAGAGCCTTGGACGTGACAGAGAACATGGAGAAAGTCACGCGTTAAAAACAATAGAATTTTGAGAGTTGAAAGTAATTTGCATAACCTCAGAGCGCATGCTCTCCAGCTGACATAGCCCCTTTAAATCGAATTAATTCAATATGGTCGCCGTATCGGTAAAAAAGTCTATTAGACCTATTGTTGATGTTTTATTTTGTTTTTTTGCAATTCTCGTTGCCGTGGCAGGTTACAATCACACGATTTTATTATTTGCAGGAGTACAACTCCAAGTATATCAACGAGGGCTGCGCTTTTAGCCCTATCTGAATCTATATATTAGTGATTATGAAAGAAATAGAAAGCGCTAAACGAGGTAAACCAGTATGCCAGTTATAAATATATTTGCTCCAGAATAATAGCGAGGGGGGATGTTTGCTTGCGGGCCACTAGACCATTAACTGTCCCTTATCTTTCCGTAAAATCGTCCAGATGTGTGGCCTTCTTGGGTCCGCTGCCTCAAAAGTAGATTTCATAGTCATCCCCGGGGCTAAACCTGAGTCGGGGAGCTTGATAAAACCTGAAGAAAGGTACTCGTCAGTTTAATACCACAGGCTACCAGAAATATGAAATATATTTTAAAAAATAACAAATGCAAACATAAACGACAAACATAAAACAAAACAAAGTGAAAGCTCATAGCGACAACCAATTGTTTTAAAAATGCTAACCTGAATGGACAGGAGCCTGTTCTGGAAAACTAAAAAGCTGCTATTGTTAATGCACTAGGCAATTATGCATGCATGATTCTTTATTTTTTAGATTGTCAACGAAAACAGCAAGAAATGTAATAGTATACTCTATTGATAAATAATTTACTGCCTTTCAATTTTAGTCAGACTAGCAAAAAATTAGACTGCTTGCAGTCCGCCTTTTCTCTTAAAATCCGTCCAGTTCTTATCTCATCCAGCGCGATTGCAAACTACGATGTTATATTATGATTTAGGGATTGAGACGAGACGAGAAAAGACGGACTGCTGACTCTTTTGTAGTAAACAAACCCTCCGTCAGCCCAGAAACGGAGTAACCGATTGGTCAATTGCACAGCTCTTGACAGATCATTAACTGGTCCGTGGTGAGATTGCAAGCAATAAAAGTAGTCACGCGTCACAACCAATTGCAAACAATAGCGAACAAAGCGGTAATCTCAGTAATAAAACTTTTAATTGATTAATTAAATTACCTTGACAGCTTTGTTGTCCCCAGACAGAACAAAACAGAGTCAGCAGTCTCTTATTTTTTCTTCTCGGGCTTACGCCCTCGTTTCTCGCGACAAGCGGCCTCGCCGCTTGCGTGGTTAGGTTTCGCGTGCAGTAACTTTGCAAAGAAAAGAGACTGCTCGCAGTCTAGCAAAAAATGTTTTCGCGGTGTAACAATTCCAGATATAGGAACGCCATCATGTGATATCAGTTTTGTGTACACAGCGAAGACGACTCGATCGGACGGATGTTCTATTGTGTTAAAAGTCACCAAAAGTTTAAAATACTTAATACATTCATAGACCCGGGTTCCCGGGTCACAAGTCATGGGATCAGGATCAGCCATTTTTTGTGTGTGTCTTTGAGGGATCAGGGATCGCAGTAGATCTGGGAGAAGAGTCACTAGATATCGTCTTTAAATACACGTTTTGCATTGTGAGCCACAATTTCACTACTGCGATAAAATGGAAAAACTTAAAATAACAATAATGAGGCTACAAGAGGCAGAAATGAAATATTAGCACGCAAGAGTCACGTAAACACTTTTAGTGTTCGACTGGAGTCTTTTTTAATGTTTAATACCGGTCTCGTTTTCTCGATAAGCCTTTCTCATAGTCCTTCGTGGTTGTAGGTGGCCTTGTGCTCTCTTATCTTGTGCTTCGCTTGTCTTGGCTCGCATTGTGTATATTTTTCTCCTTGCCAGCTCACCTTTCGAAGCTCGACTTGAAGGCAATTCTATTCGTTAATGTACAAAGTCTCCAAAATCAAACAATCGAACTTCGATCCACCTTTCTTCATAATTGAAAAGTCGATGGTATAAGTGTCGTGCCTTGTATAGATTCTTTTGCCATATATTTAGATTCAGTCCTTTTATTCATTTCTTATTATACGTGACGTTAACTTGAAGCCGTCGAAACGTGGAGATTTAGTTTTTTATTTAATTGTCGTCTATATATCGTCTATTTTTATCGCATTGTTTTATAGAGTGTTTTCTATTGCTCATAGCATCATACGAGTTTTACATTTCTCAACCAAGAAAGTTTTGAAAAAGTCAACTAATCAGTTAATGTGTAATGACCGAGCATTTTTCAGAAGCAAGCAGCAGAATTCAAATAATTCCTTAATACATCATGGAAGACAAGATGAGAACGTGATTCAGAATGAACAAATAAACATCTACTTGAGGTAAATACGCCTAGTTGTTATTAATGAATGATAGCCGACGTCGGGGAAACATAACTTGAACACATCAGAGAGAGAGAAGAAGGTAAGAGAGAGAAGAAGGGAACGTAAACTACAAGAGCCGCGTCTTTTGCATTTCGCTCCTTATTTCAATTATCCCAGCTGTCACTTCAACGACCAATCAGAATTAGGTGTACGCTTTTCTGTATGACTGACTTCACGTGGGAATAGAGACTTTAAGCAACTCACGACGACGGCCGGGTGGACGCCCGCCAAGCGCGCCACAACCTGGGTCGAGGTCGACGTCTTTTGGTGGGAAAAACAAAACTAAGCAAACTTGTCGACGACGCGTCGACGAAGCAATTTTTCTGCTTTCTCTGCCGCTCTCCCCAGTTAGAATGGCATCCCTAAGGAATACTCGAGAAGCTTTACTGCTGGGATACAGCGAAGGATGGCTGGATGAAATGGAATTCCTCGCTTTATATGATTTAAATACGTCTGAAAACCTTGAATTTCCCTATGATTCATATGATCAGTTCAACCTCGATGATATCGACGAAGCTGAGTGCATTGCAGAATTTCGCTTTGAGAAGCGACATATTCTGCAACTAGAAGAGGTGCTACAGATTCCTGCTCTCTTGAAGTGCGACCAGAGATCAGTGTTCACTGGAACGGAAGGACTATGCTTGCTCCTGAAAAGGCTGGCTTACCCTTGTAGATATTCAGATCTTATTTATCGTTTTGGCAGACCAGTACCTGTCCTATGCATGATTACCAACAAAGTTATAGACTACATATACGATACCCACCACCGCAAGATAACCAACTGGAATAACGGTATCTTGAACCCCGTTTCCTTACAAATGTATGCAGATGCGATTTCAACCAAAGGAGCAGCCTTAGATAATTGTTTCGGGTTCATCGATGGGACTGTGAGAGCAATTTCTAAACCTGGTGAACGACAAAGAGTGATGTACAACGGCCACAAAAGAATCCATGGCATCAAATTTCAATCAGTTACACTGCCAAATGGCCTCATTGCAAACATGTATGGCCCAGTTGGTAAGAAATAATCACATGTATACTTTAGGGAGGGGAGAATATGAAGGTAAATTAAATGTTATTTTGATTCAGGTGTTTACCAGATAATTTTGGCAAGTCCCACCTATACACCCCTTTCTGCATCTTCATCTCCATTTTGGTTTGCTTTCAATGGCAATTTTAATTTTCAGTTAGAAACTAGCGAATAAGAGTCCTTTAAGAATGCAATCACTGGGGGAAAAGGTAACAGATTGTTTAGAGTACTGTTTTGTGATTACCTACCCAGCAAGTGAGTCACCTATGGTTTTATGAACATGCCTACTACTCCCTTCACAATCACAAACACAAATAATTATGTGATACTTTTTTGTTAAGAAAAGCATAATCTATGATGTAAAAACCTTTTGTCTTTCATGTTTATCACCACTGTAAAGAAGGAAGGAAGCATGATGCAAGCATGTTAACAGACTCTGGCCTGCTAAGAGAACTACAGCGGAATGCAATATCACCCACTGGGCAGCCTCTCTGTGTCTATGGGGACCCTGCGTACCCATTAAGGGTGCATTTACAGGGCCCATTCAAGAATGCCTACTTAACTCCTCAGATGCAGCAGTTTAATAAGTCTATGAGTGAAGTTAAAATTTCTGTTGAATGGCTTTTTAATGACATCATCAATTATTTTAAGTTCATGGATTTTAAGAAAAATCTCAAGGTTGGCTTAAGCAGTGTAGGCAAAATGTACATTGTATCAGGTCTCCTTCGCAATGCTCTCACATGCCTGTATGGCAATAGCACATCAAAGTTTTTTGATATTCAGCCTCCAAGCCTTGAGGATTACTTTGCCTAAACATGACAACATTTTCAATCAAATGGATTCCTGTAATGTCAAGTATGGTTTAATAAAAAATCTTTTAATGTCCAACAAATTACAAGCTGGTACTAAACAATGTAACAACACAGCAAAACTATAAAGAACTGCCCCCCAGTTGTTCCAAAGTTGGATAGTACTTTTCACCAGTTGATAGCTGTTAGGGAATCGAATTGCATTATCCAGTGGATAGCACAATCCACTCTTTGAACAATTGGGTCTGGTCATTTGTCATGAGCTAATAAATGTGATAAAAAACAACTATACTCTATTGTACATCATCTGTTGCCTCTACAATATAACAAGAATACTTGCCTCTAAGTCACAAAAAAGTCTAATAATACAATCCAGGGGGTACTCAGATGTCAAATGACAGGGATGGTTGAATGAGGGTAAAACTCAGAACCCGAAAAAATCCCTGGTCCAAAAACTAACCCTAAAAAATATCCCATGCCGAATTTCCCAACCTTGAAAATTCCAGAAAGCATTAAAGGATAAAACACAAAAAATTTAATAAAACATTAAGAAGCCAGGATACGCAGGCACTACCACAAATCTTCAGTTTGATTTGAATATCGAAACAAATCTTTACTTGAATCAACACACCCCGAAAAAATCCCCCCCCCCCTCCCCAGACAATACTACTGATATCTTGCACAAAAATGTCCAACAAATGACAACTGAACAATAGCAAACTGTACAAAACTGGTCATTTGTTATGAGTCAATAATCATCATAGAAAACAACTACACTTTATTGTGTCAATCATCTGTACCCCATGCTATGTAACAAGAATTATCGTCTTACGCCTTACAACACAACTAATAACTTGCAAAAATCTGTAACAGTTTTTGTGCAAGGAACACAAAATGCACAAGGTGTAAGTACATATCTATAGTGGAGCACAAGGTATCTTTTTAGTTAGCGCTGCCTATGATTCAGTCTTTTTTAGTAAACTTTTCAACAATGGCCAACATAGTTTGGTTTTGCAGTTGACTTTGTTGCATGAATGCTGAGAACATGTCTTGCATCTGCTGTCGTTGATTAACCTGTTGTAGTTGCATCTGGTTCAACACATTGTTCTGTTGTTCTAGCATTTTTTGCTGCTCTGACCGTCTTTGTGCCATTTCCTCTTGCTTCATTGTCATGTCTTTTTCCATTTTTTCTCTCATAAAGTCAAGGGTGTCTGATCCACTACGTCTTGCCTTCTTTTTCTTCTGATCTCCAGCTGTTAGCCCTGAAGCTTCTTTGCGCTTCTTGCTCTCTCTCTCCCATGCCTGGCCACTCTCACGACTTCTGTTCTTATATTTATATGGCTCAACCGTTAGCATCTCTCTGGCTAAGAGCACATCATGTTCTTTAGTCCATTTAAAGGCAGGTAAGTTCCTATAATTACAATAGAAGAAAAATAGCCTGTACTAAACAAACTTACTTGCAAAGAAAAAAAATATGATAATAATAATGACGATGATAATAATAGTGATAATAATGATAATAGCAATAATAATTATGATAATTATAATGATGGTGATGATGATAAGAATAATTATAATAATAAAAACAACAATAAAGAGACAATAACACTGCACTCTTTCCAACAAAGCAACGAACAAACCTTCCACTAACAAATTTTAGTTCCAAAAAGGCAAAAAAAAAATTCTTCCATACAATTGAATTATATGATGTGCAGAGGGAATTTCTGAACATGAAAATTAGATTTTAAGTGAGATCAAGATCTCCAAAAATTTCAAGCACTTGGAAAACCTAAGTATTAGAGAATTGCCAATAATTTTTCTTTCAAAACTTTGAGTCTGAAAACATTCAAGAGTGTGAATTTAGTTAACAAACAATGCTCTATTGAATTTAATGCTTGTAAATGATTAGCCAGCTGGAGCAAAGCTAACTTCAGCAACTCATTGCTACCCATGATTCCAGAAACTTAACTCTCTTACTGATAGCTGTTAGTCCGTCTTGCATAAACTTTAAACAGCACTTTAAACAATCCTCTGCTGACAGCTTGCATTTTCGAGTGGTTTTGTAGTCCAGCTTTACCAAGCACACATGCACGCAAACAGATTAGCTTACTTGTGCCCGCCAAAACTAGACCAAGCCATAACTTACATAGCAACCTAAAACCTAGTTCAAGGCTCCGTTGGAGGACATCGCTTTTCCTGGAATATTCGGTCTGAGACCATATGAACATAAAAATCAACAGAAGGTGCTTACGTTGCTTTTTCAGCGGTCGTGATTTCAGGAGATGCCATGACTATAAAAGAGGAGAAAGTTCTTCAATGAATAAACAGCTCCAATTTCGTCAACCACTATCACAAAGATATCTTTGATTTCAAAAAATCATCAGAAACACTGAAATGTGATTGTGCTTCCACGGCATGTTCGACAAAAGGCAAAAAAAGTGAATAAATACTCACCTACCGAAGACGACTTCTGAAACGCGCGTCGCCAGTCGTCCACTGCTGAACGACGACTCGAGTTTAGTCTTTCGCATGCGCAGTAGACGCCAATAGTGCATTTTTACTTCCCGTCGACCACTTCGGCGGCGTCGTCGTGAGTTGCTTAAACTCTCTAATGTATCGCCAAGGGCCGTTTCGTAACTGCAGAGCATGAGAAAATCTTCGCAACAGAATGTCGGCGCCGCAACTCCCACAAAAAAACCAATGTAAACGTTAAAAAATAGCAGTTTTAGATTTTGTGGAGTTAACTTTTCTTCAGGGGGAGCACCAGCCTCATTTGAAAATTTATTTTCAGCGTCGGGAAGAGTTGAAAGTGCGGGGTTGAATTTAGCTCATTGTTGCAGGTCTATTGGGTTGCGATTAACCAGAAACGAAAACTTGTCAGAAGGGGTCTGCAGACCTTGTGCTCGCAAAATTAGAAACGCAGCTCAACTGTACAGTTTCATCGAGAAAGCTGTAAGCAACACTATTGTCGAGGAAGATTTACATTGAGAGACTGTGGAAGATCGAAGCAAAAGACAGCTTCCCACCACTATCACGCCACAAAGAAGTGATGTGAAAAAGGAACGTCTCGAATCTGACGGTTAACAGCTGAAAGAAAAAATACCTGGAAAGGTTAACTGTAGAAAGATCTTATTTGTAAAAAGCTCGACAATGAGTGACTCGTCGGACGCAGAATCGTGAATTGCTGGTATTGAAACATTTTATACACAGACGCCTGAGCAAGTAACACTTACACTCGCTGGACAAGATGCCGATATTTTCTTGAATTATTGTAGTATAGAAGATATTACAGGAAAGCCAAGCACTCTGCTGAAGGCACTGGCATTGAGTTTGAAGCCTAACGGAGAAGTCATCGTTCGGAAAATGTTTGACAACACGACGCAGGCTAACTGAAATCGCCAGTTTGGTGTACTTAACAAGCTTGTTCTATTTTCTGATTAACCAATCAGAATTTGCGATCGCCAGCGTCCGCAGAGGTGAACAAAACGGGTTTATAGCGCTATGTACATCGACTTTATTTAAAATCATAACACAAATTGCACACTAGTGGAACTATAATCAATGTTAACCTCAAGAACTAATGATCTTCTTTTCTGATAGCAGTCGAATACGTATTTTGCAATTAACTTAACTGGTTTGTTCTTGCTCGAGGGGTTTATTAAAAACAGAAAAACATCATCTGGTGCCATTCTGTTTACTGATACTCTGTATTCTTTGTTTAAGTATTCGAATAAAGTACTTCTTTTTTCTTGATACACAGGGCACAGAGTTGAAAAGTGTATTTCATCTTCTACGTCTTTTTTTTACAGATAGAACAGATCCTCTCTTTCGGTTTCTTATAAGGTCTTACATACCGACCTGTCTCTATTGCCAATTTGTGATTACTTAGACTGAGTTTAGTTAGGGTTATCCGGTGTAGCATGTTGGTGACCTGACGGAGATAATCTTCACATTTTTCCTCCCTCCTTCTTTTCATTCTTTTCTTTCTTAACCCCCCCACCCCCTCCCTTCTTTTAACGCCTGCTATGTTTGGTTGCTTTTGAAGGACCAAAATTGTGTGCTTAACATCATTTAAGGACCAATTTAATCCTAGGAAGTGAAAAAAATCGTTGAAAGTGCAAGACTTTGAAGTGGTGAACTCGGCAATTTGCGCTATTTTTACTCTTTGTCACTGCAAAAAATTGGCCGCCGCGCGCTGAAGTGATTTTCCTTCCGAAAAAATTTATTTTGAAATATTTTCAAAAACTAATGCGGTTTCAATTACTTTTGGACTAAGATATATTCATGGGCAAAGTTTAAGGGAAATTGATTTTTTGACCCGAAACGCAGACTCCCTCTTGTAAGTACTGATCTTCTTTGACCTCTGTCAAAGTATTAATCTTTTTATTGCGACTAAATAACCTTTCTAACAAGATATTATTTTTACCTTTCTGGGCTTCCATAAGTGGTCTCACACCTTCCTTACACACTGCCCCAACCTGTGGCTGTTGCTGCTGTTATTCC